TCTGGGGGACAGTGAGATTCCAACTCAAAAAAAAAAAAAAAAAAAAAAAAAAAAATATATATATATATATATATATATATATATGAGCAAATGCGCCAGGCATGGTGGTTTGCGCCCCTAATTCCAGTACTTTGGAAGACCGAAGCAGGAGGATCGCTTTAGACCCAGAGTTATAGACCAGACTAGGTAACATAGCTAGACCCACATCTCTGAAAAAGAATTTTAAAAAGTATTAGGGCGTGGTGGCACGCACCTAGGAGGATAACAGGAGGCTGACGCGGGAGGACTGCTTGAGCCTAAGAGTTTAAGGCTGCAGTGAGCCGTGATCGCGCCGTTGCCTCAAGCCTGGGCGACAGAGAGAACCTGCCTCAAAAAAATAAAGCAATGGATTTTTATTAGATTTTTAACAGATCTAATTGTAGATCCATTTCTACCACAGTAAGACTTTCCATTGTCGCTGCTAAAAATCTTAAGCCCCCTCCCGGCCGCGGTTTACGGTCCCTCCGCCCACGTAGGTGTGATGGAGGGGAGATGGGGGTGAGAATTGGGCGGCTCGCGGCATCAGGCGCCCGGCGGTCGGGGTCGTCTGGGCCGGCCCGAGAGCCCGGGCAGGAAGCGTGCTTAAGCGGCAGGCATCGAGGCTGGGGTATCAGCTCGGGGTCTGCGGCGACCTGGGCAGGCCGGCTGCGCACAGGCCCCGCCTCCAGCCTCCCAGGCCCCGCCCCTGCCCCGCTTCTAGCCTTCCAAGTCGCTCTTCAGCCCAGTTTCCGGCCCTCCCGGCCCCGCCCCTGCCCCGTCTCCGGCACTCCAGAGCCCGCTCCGTCCCCGCCTCCGGCCCTCTCGGCCCCTGCCCTGCCCCGTCCAGCCCGCCCGCGGCCCCTCCCGGCCCCGCCTCCAGCCCTCCCGGCCCCGCTCCGGCCCCTGCCAGCCCGCCCGACCCCACCCAGGCCCCGCCCCCAGCCCCACTGGCCCCGCCCCGGCCACGTCCAGCCCTCCCAGCCCCGCCTCCAGCCCGACCGACCCCCTCCCCGGTCCCTTCCCTCCCCTTCCCGCTGCGCCGGCTGTGGCTGCGGCCGTAGGAGCCCCAGCCATGCGAGGCGCGGGTTGGGGGGCGCGCCCGGTGCTGGCGCCGCTGCTGCTGCAGCTGCTGGCCGGGGCCGCGCTGTGCGCCCCTGCCTCGCCCGCAGCCCCGCCGCGCTTCAACGTGAGCCTGGACGCAGCCCCCGAGCTGCGCTGGCTGCCGGTGCTGCGGCACTTCGACCGGGACAAGCTGCGCACCGCGGTGGTGCGAGTCATCGGGTGAGCCGGGCGCGCGCGGGGCCTCAGGGGACCTGCGGCCGAGCGGAGTGGGGCCGCCCGAGCGCATTCCGCCGGGACTCCACTCGCCCCCAGCCCGAGCGTTGGCATTCGAGGCGGCCCCGGCAGCGTGGGCCCCGGGGACCCCGCGGTGCGACGCACTCGGCTTCCCGTGTCGCCGCGGCACGTCCGTCCCCGAGCCATTCCGGGTCGGGATGGCGCGCGGGTTGCGCCCGGGGCGCCCATCCGCCGCGTAGGGACGCCCCTGGCGCCTCTCGCAGGCTCGCGGGCTCACCCGGGGGCACCCCCGGTCCGGGCCTCCCTCGCCCTCCCTCCCCCCGGGCTTTCTTCTTCCCTCCTGGACGCGGCGGACGGGCAGTGTCCTGTGCGTCATGGCTGCTGGCCCTGATGCTGTTTCCCCCAGGGATGCGGCCACGGGGAGTGTGTCTGTCCAGCAGGGCCGGGAGCGGCCTGGTGGGCTCTCGGCTCTCCGGGGACCGGGGGCACTCACGCTCACCCCCGAGGACGTGGCCTCGCCCGCGACCTCCGAGCAAATCTGACACCCCCGTGCTTGCCCGATGCCAGGGATAGAGTGCCCAAGTGGGCCCACGCGGTGATCGAGAAGGTGGCTGTGAACCTGGAGCTCTTCCTGCCCCAGCCCTTCACCGGCGAGATCCGTGGCATATGCGACTTCCTGAGCCTCAGCCTGGCCGACTGCCTCCTGGCCAACCTGGCCTACGAGTCCTCCGCGTGAGTGTCCCACCTGCGGATGACAGGGCGCTAGCCGGGGACCTAGGAACGGGCGGAGACACTTTTTCAGGGCAATAAAAACAGGGTGGTGACTGGCCCAGAAACCTGTAAGGATTCCTCTTTGCCTCTGGGTAAATGAGTCAACACTGAACCTTCCTCTGTCCAAGGCCCCTTTCCTCTCTCCACCAACCCACGTAGCATCTTTCAAAGCTCTGCTCACAATGGACTTTTCCAGTTTTTAGAACTAACGCCCTTCTCATCTAGACGTGAGTTAACCCAGTGACCCTCCACCTTTACACCTGCAGGGGGTCATCCCTGCACTGTGTCCCCTGCGTGTATCCCCCCATGTCAGTCATGGCTGGTGATCCTGACTGCTCTTTGAGAGAGTGTCCACCAGGGCCAGGGTCACAGGGATTACTGCTCTGTCTAATTGGGCCAGGCTATGTGTGGACTGGGGACTGGGCATGATAAAATGTGGCACTCAAAAGTGAAAGCAAGATGACATGCATGGGTGATCCTAGGCAAAGTTCAGGAGACCCTTAAGTGTTTGTGGTCTTATTACAGGTCCTGGAATTAAGAGAGAATTGACTTAGTTTCTTCCTTTAAATTTTACTGTTTTGGCCGGGCTCCGAGGCTCACGTCTGTCATCCCAGAACTTTAAGAGGCCGAGGCGAGAGGATTGCCTGAGCCCAGGGGTTCGAGACCACCCTGGGCAACTTAGTGAGACATCGTCTCTACAATAAATCAGAAAAATTAGCCATGTCTGGTAGTGCTTGCCTGTGGTTCTAGTTACTTGGGAGGCCGAGGTGGAAGGATTACCTGAGCCCAGCAGGTCAGGGCTGTAGTGGCCATGAGTGTGCCACTGCACTCCAACCTGGGTGAAAGAGTAAGACTCCAACTCAAAAAAAGAAAAAAAGACTTACTGTTTTGCCACCAGACCAGCCTCAGCTATAAACGTCTTGTAGATACTTATAGCTTCTTGCTGTCTAAAAGTGATGGGGATAAAAGATCCTGGGATAATGAAATTTTACGGGCTCTGGCATCTTCCCAGGACACCTAGGCAGAGTAAGAAGCACTGGGACTGCCTTCCTCTTTCAGGAAAGGCTTTTAGGCCCAGAGAAGACACAGGCCTGCTAACGTGCTTTTCAGTTGAACTAAGTTAATTTTACCACCTTCCTCACCACCTCCACCTTTTTGTCATCTTGACATATGACTTTCTCCATGAAAACCTGCTGGTCTTTTTCACCCTCATTTATTGAAGTCACATATTCAAGGAGATAAAAGCAAAAGTTGTAAAGACATTCTGACTTCCGGATTTGTTTTTAAGGTGTTCATTGAATCGCAGATAGCAGAAAGCACCATCAGCTTCCTCAGCATTACCAGAGGGAATGTTTAGTTCTCATTTTGGAAGCAAGGCTTCTTGAATCAGAAAAATACTAGTTGTCCTTTTTGAACCTGTTGGATGCCAGGCACGTCATGAACACAACCCCTGACGTGGAAACCAAGCCTCAGAGGGGACGACTTGCTGAAAGTCAGGTGGCTGGTGAGTGCTAACAAGCAGTGACTCTCCAGCGCCCTGCTGGGCCTCTCCCGAAACAGAGCCTACCTCCTTTCAGCCTCCTGTGCCTGTGCGCGGCTCCAGCACACTCAAACATTTGAGTGTGATACAGAAGTAGTGTCATCTTGCCAATTTTGAAGAGTCACCTTTGAGAGAGCGACTACCAACTTTGCTCTAGCACTTCCTGTGTTTTATCAGTCCCCTTCCTGACGTGAACTCTTTGCAATTAAGTTTAGAAACCTTGGAAGGAACTAAAATCTCACCAAGTTTCCTTCTTTAAACACACAAAAACATTAAAGAACACTTGTGTTTTTTTCTAGTGATAAAAGTAATATGTAAGCATTATAGAAAACCAATAAATGCAGAAAAGTAGAAAGAATAAAACTAACCACCATCCTGTGACTCAGAAATGATTAGAAAATCCTTCAGGGTGGTTCCTCTCAGTTTTGCTTGTATAGATATACACATCTTTCTCCCCGGAAATGGACAAACTATATATAAATATTTTTATATAATATTAAATGGTCTCAGAGAATATGAATATTTAGATGTTTTAACAAACCTCCTCCTCTTTTCCTCAAAATACTTCCATCTAAATGGGAGTTCTTAAAGGATCCTTTTTTTTTTTTTTAAATTAGCTCCATGCAAGGAGCCCTAAGAGAGACAGGAAAAGTGCCAAGACCCTAAGGAGCATTTTCCAAAGGGGACAAAATGAAACATTTGTGGAAGGATGGTTTAATGCCATTGTATTTGCTCTGAAACGTTCATAATGTGGAGAGGTGGGCTTGAGTTACCTTTGAATGATGTGTTAAATAGAATACATACCACCATAGAGAGGAAGAAGCAGAGGTCAGAGGACTGGCTGAGCCTGAATGGAGCAGTTTTATTTAGGATTGAGATTGAGGATGAGATTCTCATTCAGTGTGCTTGTGACGCCATCCATGTTCAATGCTAACATTGAACGAACACAGACGAGTTGTGTCCAGTTGAATTTTTCTTTCTTTTTTTTTTGAGTTAAGCTCTCACTATGTTATTCTGTTGCCCAGGCTGGTCTCAAACACCTGGGCTCTAGTAATCTTCTCACCTTGGCCTCCCAAAGTGCTAGAATGACAGGTGGGAGCCACCACGCCCAACTCAAGTTGTATTTTTCCTTTTTTTCTTTTTAGTTGGAATCTCACTGTCGCCTAGGCTGGAGTGCAGTGGCAAGCCCACAGCCATTACAGCCTCAACCTGCTGACCTCAGGTGATCCTTCTGCCTCAGCCTTCCAAGTAGCTGGAACCATAGGTGCATGCCACCACACCCAGCTTATTTTTTGATTTATTGTAGAGATGAGGTATCGCCAAGTTACCCAGGCTGGTCTCGAACCCCTGGGCTCAAGCAGTCCTCTCACTTCTGCCTCCCAAAGTGCTGAGATGACAGGCATTAGCCACTGTGCCCAGCCCCCAGTTGTGTTTTTCATCTTGAATTGTGAATCCATATTCTTAAACAAGAATGGTTGCATATATGTCAGATATAAGGAAGAAAAACTGTTTTACTTCGAAGACTTGTTTCAAAGATGAAAAACTCATTTTCCTTTTCTGTCTCATTCACGCATGTTTGACTTTTCTGCTTTCTCAGATTCTGCACAAGTATTGTGGGTCAAGACTCCCGAGGCCACATTTATCACGGGCGGAATCTGGATTATCCTTTTGGAAATATTTTACGCGAGCTGACTGTGGATGTTGACTTCCTGAAGAATGGGCAGGTATAGTCCATACGTATAAAATGCGACATCAGAAAGACTTGCCAGCCTGAGCTAGCAGTCATCTGCGTGGCCTGCTGACATCAGTGCATTATCAGTGCAGGACGCAAGAGACATCAAACCCCTGGGAAAAAAACAGAAGAGGGGTTTCCACCAGTTATGCCTCTAGGAAGGAGGATCGCTTATTATAACTGAGCACCTTCTTTAAAAGGTCAACCCGTGTTCCATAGGGAAGTCTCTTTGAGGGTATGATCAGTTTTCCACTTATGCAGAGTCGGCTCTTCTGCTTTCCCATGTTCAGGCTAGAGCATGCAAGGGCAAGGAGCATCCAGCTCTGGGATCTTCCAGTCCTGAGTTTGAACCCTGGTTCTGGCCATTACTGTTCTTCCTTTGTGAACCTGGGAAATGACTCGGATGAGTCATCGTTGCAGACTGCAGGTCAGAGGGGTTCACAGCTGCTTTATTAAGATAGTTGTACATATGAAATGAAGCAATCTATGTAAAGTATGTGGCAGGTGCATGATAAAAAGTGGCCAAATAATAAATGGTTCTTTGTTCTACAAGTATGATTACCCACACCACTCTCTTGTGTATGATCTTTAAGAGATAATACTTAGATGATTTTGTTTTCAGCTCGGACCTTTTATTTTTTCTTATTTATTAGTTAGATTAGAAAATATAGTTTATTTAGGAAGTAAATGAAAGAGAGAGAGAGAGAGAGAGAGAGAGGGAAGACTTACCTCTCCAAGGTAGGAGAGGGGGCCCAGGCTAGGAAACACACTGATCATGGCTTAAGGAGTCACATAGTCAGACCATGGCTTAGCAAAGCAATGGCTATTTATTTATTTATTTATTTATTTATTTATTTATTTATTTTTGAGTTGGAGTCTCACTCTGTCACCCATGCTGGAGGGTAGTGGCACACTCACGGCCACCGCAGCCTCTATCTGCTGGACTCAGGTGATCCTCCCTCCTCAATCCTCCAAGTAGCTGGAACCACAGGCGCATACCACATGACTGGCTAATTTTTTGATTTATTGTAAAGATTAGGTCTCACCAAGCTGCACAGCCTGGTCTCAAACCCCTGGGCTCAGGCAATCCTCTCACCTCTGCCTCCCAAAGTGCTGAGATGATAGGACATTGGCTACCATGCCCAGCTAGCTCGGTCCCTTTAAAAGTATGATATAATATGTATTATTGTTGCATTGCTGTGTAAACTTCTAGAAAGACAGAATAAATCAATGTTTACTGAGTCCACAAAGCATGTAATTGCTGTAAACTAGAATAGAACAGACAAGAGCCATATTTTGGCTTTAAGGACAAGGATTATATTCCCTTTTTTCTTTGCATGTAGGATTTGGTTCACAGATACTAAAAACTTGTTTACTAAATGCCCATCTAGCATCTGCTTTTATAATCACTTTTTCTCGTAACATTTTCAAATAATACAGAAATATTTAAAGTAAAAGTCTCTCCTTCCCAATGTCATGTATTTACTTCACCATTATTAACAATTTGATTTCTAACTGAAGATTTACTTCAAAAATGATTTTAAGTGCTAACAATAATAGACCGTAAATACATAATAAACTCTCAAAGGAGAAAATCAGCTAAAATATTAAGTTATTATTGAATGGTAGGATATCAATTCTTTTCATTTATTACTTTGTGCTTTTCATTATTCTACAATGAGCAAATATTCTTGTAAATAGACAAAGGAATACATGAATTAAAAATAAATTATTGCCAGGCACGGCCAGACACTCATGCCCGTCATCCCAGAACTTTGGGAGGTAGAGGCGAAAGGATGGCCTGAGTCTACGTGTTTGAGACTGCCCTAGGCAACCTGGCAAGACCTTGTCTAGAGAGTAAATCAAACATTAACTGGGTATGGTGACACACACCTGTAGTTCCAGCTAATTGGAAGGCTGAAGCGGAAGGATCACCTGAGCCCAGCAGGTTGAGGCTTCAGTGGCCATGAGTGTGCCACTGCACTCCAGCCTGGGCAACAGAGTGAGACTCTGACTCAAAAAAATAAAAAATAACTGAGTTAAGCTAGGTATGGTGGCTCACACCCATCATCCCAGCACTTTAGGAGGCGGAGGTGAGAGGCTAGCCTGAGCCCAGGGGTTCGAGACCAATCTGAGCAACTTGGCTAGACCTTGTCTTGACAAAATAAATAAAAAATTATCTGGGCATGGCAGTACACACCTGTAGTTCCAGCTATTTGGAAGGCTGAGGCAGAAAGATCACCTGAGCCCAGCAGGTCAAGGCTGCGGTGGCCATGAACCTGCCACTGTACTCCAGGCTGGGCAACAGAGTGACACTACAACTCAATAAACAAACAAACAAACAAACGATTTCAGCTGTTCTCTCTAAAGCTCACTCTAACTTTTCCTGGAGTTCCCAAGAAAAATAGTCTATTAAGGTGGCATGACTCTCAGCGCTCAGGTTATTGTTACTGAATCTAGACAGTTTACACTTGGGTATTGGTTTTCTCTTTTTTTGAGTCAGGGTCTCATGGTCTCACTCTGTCACCCAGGCTACAGTGCAGTGGCATGATTAAGGCTCACCACAGCCTCAACTTCCTGGACTTAAGTGATCCTTCCACCTCAGCCTCCTGAGTAGCTGGAACTACAGGCAAGCACCACCATACCTGGCTAATTTTTTTTTTGCAGAGACAAGGTCTCACTATGTTGCCCAAGCTTGTCTCAAACTCCTGGGCTTAAGCAATCCTCCTGCCTTAGACTCCCAAAGTACAGGGATTACAGGTGTGTACCAATGTGTCCAACGTGTATTGCTTTTCTGCTAAAGATTCATGGCCAAGAAATTGTTTTGCTAAATTAAAAGCAGGTTATTCACAAAATAATTCATCTCTCATTCCTGTCTAGTGTTAATAATTTTTAAAGTATTTTCATGTTAAGAACCTTATTTGATCCTCCCAGCAACCATGTGGGGCAGTTACAAGTCAACGTTTTCCTTCTCACTTTTTTTTTTTTTGAGTTGGAGTCTCACTCTGTCACCTAGACTGGAGTGCGGTGGCCACTCCCGGCCACCGCAGCCTTGACCTGCTGGGCTCCAGCAATCCTTCCGCCTCAGCCTTCCAAGTAGCTGGAACTACAGGTGCGCACTACCATGCCCGGCTCATTTTTTGATTTATTGTAGAGATGAGGTCTCACCAAGTTGCCCAGGCGGGTCTCGAACCTGCAGGCTCAGGCAATCCACTCACCTCAGCCTCTCAAGGCACGGGATTACAGGCTGAGCCACCGAGCCCAGCTCCTTCTCACTTTCTAGATGAGAGAGTTGGGCGTTATAGAGATTGGCTTGCCCCAAATCACAAGCCAGAGACATGGCAAAGGTGGGGCCAGAACCCAGGACTTCAGCCTCCTGAAAGTTTCTATTTCCCAAAAACTCAGCCTTCATTAGAGGGTTAAATAGAGTCCTCTACTAAGGGTTTTTTAATGTTAATTGACTTGGCAAAAACAGTTGGTACAAACATTTAGAAGACTGATTTTTAGAGCCGCAAGATAAAATATCTTACAAATTATATCTTGTAATTATGTATTATAATTGGAGACTGCAATGTGATTTTTTTACTTTAATAACTTTAATTTTATCAGTCCTTCAAGAATGACCTAACATGAGGGTCAGTGTATCATGTAAATGAGGGTAATCATTTAATTACTTTTTAAAAAATATAATTACATTTCGTAAGGGTCTTAGTACTTAATTAGACTTATTCCCATGTTACTGCCATAAATGGAGAGGGGGTGCATTCATGGAAGCCCCTCAGTAAGTCTAGGGGAAAATGTCACTATAAAACTAAGACTAATGCAGTCTCTCTAGAAATGTAGCCACCTTAAATTAATTTTACAACCAGATGAAGTAAAAATAAGTAATTAAATGCAAAAGCTACTGACTTAATTTTTCTAAGGAAAAATATTAATCTAGGCCTATTCATTTCTTGAAATATAATGATGCCAGTTACCTTTTATTGAACAAGATGGTTCAGGCACCGTTCTAAGTACTTGTTTGAAAAACAGCCAGGCTCAGTGGCTAAGCCTGTAATCCCAAACTTTGGGAGGCTGAGGTGAGTGGATTGCCTGAGTCCGTGGGTTCAAGACCTGCCTGGGCAACTTGGTGAGACCTCATCTCTACAGTAAATCAAAAAAAATTAGCCGGGCGTGGTAGCACGCGCCTGTAGTTCCAGCTACTTGAAAGGCTGAGGCAGAAGGATCACCGAAGCCCAGCAGGTGGCGGCTGCAGTGGCCGGGAGTGGCCACTGCACTCCAATCTGGGCGACGGTGAGACTCCAACTCAAAAAGAAAAAGAAAAAGAAAATTTGGCATCAGAAATAATTGATAAGCCGGGCTCAGTGGCTCAGCCTGTAATCCCGCGCCTTTGGAAGGCTGAGGTGAGTGGATTGCCTGAACCTGCGGGTCGAGACCCGCCTGGG